ATGCTTTCTAGTTTTTATTTTGCTTAAATGTATAGTTTTCTCCAAAGATTGGGGTGGCTAAACTTTAATCTATGAGGACCAAGGCCACCATTGGCCATCCTGTCTTCTTTGTTGCACCTGGTGGTGGATACAATGGCTCCCTCCGTTCACCAAGATCCATTGCCGTGCCGCCACAAACACGTAACAAAATAAACAAACAAAAAACAACAACAAAAACTATCTTTGTTCTTCCACAGTATCTTGCACCAGAAACATTAAGGTTTACCTGCATTCCCTGTTCAATTCCAGTCTAGAAAATCACTCATCTCCAAAAATACAAACATCCTCTATTCAAATCCCTCAGTGACGAGGGACATTGGCGTATTGCTTGTTGTAGTTTGTGCAGTTACATCAAAATCCATTTTAATAAGTCACATTTCTTAAAGTTTCCTGGAAATAAGACCACTTTGTTGGAGTACTCTAATTAGCTCTGGTTCTTTAACCTATCAAAAGCACATATTTACTAGAATATGTTTGGAGGTTTCTGCATAAATTTGGCCTACAACCATCACATTGTTTCATCCCAGTTTGTGTGCATGCTTTAAAAGTAGATTTAAATAACTAAATAAATGTATGAGACAAAAATGTTGCATGTTCATCAATTTTTAACAATATATATTTTTTTACATTTTAAAGTCATTGTTCTGTTTGATGCATGGTGATGTTTTTGCTCAGCAGAAACTGTTTTACCCGTCTTCATCCTTACTTTCAGAGCTGGCTGATCTGCCCCTCATTCGACTCGACTTTTCCTGCAATAAGATCACAGAGATTCCTTCGGCTTTTAGGAAACTCAGGCAGCTGCAGAGCATCATCTTAGACAACAACCCTATGCAGTCTCCACCTGCACAGGTATGTACCTGATTTTTCCAGATGTTCTTGTAATATATGGGACTATAACATGAAGTTAACCTGATACAACTTCACCATCTAGTGGATGTAAGGATGCATTTCTTTCTCCCTCCTGTATTTATGATTCAGATTTGTCTGAAAGGCAAAGTGCACATATTCAAATACTTGAACATCCAAGCTTGCAGAATGGACAAGAAACCAGACACCCTGGATCTCCCCTCCCTCAGTAAACGCTGCCTTCCACAGCCTCTCACAGACAGGTAATGATGGCTTGGTTTTCTATTTGCAAGGTG